AGCCTGAACTTGGTTATCACAGAGCTACAGATAACTTTTTGGGTCATTGAGTTATATACTCGCTTGTGTTCATCTAAACTGGGTATCCTAATTTTCCTTTGAGTAACCAAACAAATTGTACCCACCTTACTCAAACACAATTGGGTATTTTGCCATTAATTGTAAAAATATAATAAAATTTAAATGTTGGTTTACGTATTTGTTATTTATATTGATCTGTAAAATGAGAAATGATAAGAAAGACTGCAAGTCGCCAAGTTCATGTGCTAAAATAGAGGCTCTCAGTATACCTGTTATTTTATCTATCCACCGGTACACAAGCTAAGATTTGACATTTTTGTGTGTACACATGTAAGATCAAATGTATTGAGTATTTTCAAAAATTCAAGCAATAGACTTAATAGGAATTGAGTTTTCACATAAATATTTTCGTAATTTACGCAGATACGCAGCTTATCTGTACCTCTGTATCATTTTCAGTCAAGTTCAATTTAATACTATAACTAGCTTTGGACTAGTGACTGGAGATCAAAATTTACAATGGCTTGAGAGTTTGTGTTCATAGTGTTCAGTATTTCACAAGCAATTATGAAATCATCTTACATAACTTCATATACATTTCCCTGTGTACGATTTTGAACCAATGGATGATCTCAATGCTGGTGTACCAGCACTTTGTCTCGTGATATATTGTACCCACAGAGAATCCCTTGAGTCCTAGTTTTAGTAAAGTGTCGGTTTGCATTGGAGAGTCACCATGTTTTGGAATCCCCTAGGGTAAAAAGGTTTTAAAATGTGTAAAATGTAACAAAACACATCTTCATGGTGAGTTGAGATGTGGATATAGTGGCAGGGTTTCCATTTATTGCTGATTCCATTTTTGACAGGGAAAATTAACTTGGATTGAGGATTATATATGCTGTTGGTCCCTGGGACCAGGAATAATGCTGTTGTAAAAGGTATGAACATGATATAACTTCTGTTAAAGTATAACATTGTTATAATATAACACTATGTAAAATAATAATTGAAGCACAAATTTCACAAAATATCTGCTTTTCCTTACAAAGTGGGATATTCTTTCCATATCTATTAACAACTTAGTTGCCCCGCACTGAACACACATATTTTTGTCACTGGCAGCTATACTCTTGGTTTATTTGGGTTGTAGGACCAGCAGGTTTGAGAGTACATCTACACCACACACATAAAAATGTACAAGAAATCCAAGCAAACATTGACTTCTTTCTTCATCAGGCGATAAAAGTTCTGCACAAGAGCATGCATGGCTGAAAAAGATTTGAGTGGTTTTGTACATCCAACCAAGAAAGTCACTCAGCCTGATCACTTGATCTATTTGGCCACCTTTACTAACCAACACAGGCTTCGCAGGGACCTGGAATCCTGGCGTTTTGTTTTAATATTGGCATTAATTAGAGAGAAATAGTCTCAGCTGCAAATGTGATTGCAAATACCACAACACGAAAGATCTGAGGACATCCCATTAACATCTTGCCAGAACAACCTTTTGCAAACATTAACCAACCAATAAAATGACTAACAGTCAACATTAACCAATCAAAAACAGCTATCCAAACTTCACAACACTAGTTTTAAAATGGCGACATCCAATCAAGACTACACATGACAAAATAGTTTGACAAAATCTGAATTCAAAGTTTATAAACTGAATAGAAAAATATTCTGGAATGACAAATAGAGAAAGTGTGGTAGCACTTCTAGATAGAAAACTTCTTTTCAGTGCCATTACTCGCTTGATGACGATTCTAGCATCTACACTGAAGCCTTGCATATATTGTTTGTTAAACGCCACACTCAGATGTGATGACACGTGTCAGTCAAGTCATCGAGTCTGACCACCCAATCCTGTTAGTCACTTTTACGATAAGCATGGGTTGCTGAAGACCAATTCTAACCCGAATCTTTACAGGTACTGCACATATTGTAATGAAAGAATTTGTATATCCACAGAACTATATCCCTTGTTCCAAATGGAAAGTCTTCCAGTTCAAATATTATCTCATTGACCAAAACATAGACAATACTAGCAGTTGGAATCAGTGACACGGCCCTTAACTGTAGTTCACAGTGCTTTGTTATTCTTGAGGCTGCATGATACGAAAACACATTTCATCTTTCACATTCATGATTTCGTAAGCGACCCTCTGATTGGAAGGATGAAAGGTCACTATGACGTGACCAGTAATGGGATATCAGCAGATCTTTGTGCAACAGTTGCGAGCATTAAGATCCAATTTGAATGAGATTCTGCATCTAATTGTAGGTTGGGCCTGGTCGATCGTGTCTGCTCATGTTGGCACCAAGCATTGATACTCACATCAAATAAGTTGTCATCATACACCTCCTTCGTGAGTTGATGCCATTATGACATCAATCATGATACAACACATATTGAGAAACACAACTTTTACCGTCTTTGTGTGAAACTTTTTTTATTTTATTTGGTCAGCTTTCAGCCCGTTTGTGGTTAACAGTCTGCAAGAAAACTCTTGAGTCCACTAGACCAACTTGGCACTTAGCATCATATTCAACAAATCTAACTGTTATCACATGACATTTATAACCTGATCTTACTACATGTGTTACTAAACCTGCATTTCAGACTAGTTATGACCAGTAAAGGTGCGGATGACTGGTTTAACATTGATTAAAGCTTGTTGATTAAAGAGTATTATTGCATTCACATTTAATAACACTTAACAAAATCAATGACATCAATCAAGTCATCAAAGCTGTCAATGAATTTGGACTTGTTTCTATTCCTGGCATTGTATTACATTGAAGTCAACATACTGTGAAACTGGACATATCGGGGAACACTTTATCTTTAAAGACTCCCACCTACTTTACCTACATGTTGATGTAGGCACGGACAAGTATCTGAAAACATGGACAATTTGCCAGCTCTCAATATCATTCTTAAGTTAAGAAAATCATGTGCAACATGAAGAAATTCAACAGTGATATTATTCTGGACATTTATAAGTACACTGACATTTGTTATAGGACCTGCTACTTATTGCTGCAGCCACATATTTCACCCATTGTAAAAATCTATTGTGTTTGCAGACCTAATCAGGTGTATTGCAATATCTTTTTGTTAATTATCAATAGATCTTGTGTGGTTACTTATTGTTCAATTTAGCTCTGTACATACCATTTTCTGTCTTAACCTTTGTGTTTCGACTTGGAATCACCTCATAACACCAATACACAAGTTATGGTTTCAGTTGATTATAGCCTTGCAGTGGATGCATTCATCATCCACATTGGGAAAGCCACCAAAATATGGAAACTTGTATATTACTGTCAAAACAAATACCATGGTTAGTAAAGACCAATTTTATGCCAAAAACATTATAGTTAGTCAAATATCTGGACAAGCAGACTCTGTCTTCTGACAAGTGAAATTTTGCTGAACACTTACCCAGTGACAAATTCACAATTTTGATATTTCCTTATTCTGGTAGTTGTGTCAATGTTATTGAAAACATCACCAAATGATCAATTAAAAAGATTTTCATAAGTATACCCATTAATTTAAGTTAACTTCGAAAAAGTGCTCAAGCGTGTGTGTGAGTTGGCAGGAGGTTGGTTGACTCTCATACAGATGAGAGCTTTGGAGTTATCAGTGGAAGAGAGAAAACAGCAATTTCCTGAGAAAAAGCTTTATGTTAACATTACTATGAAGTGGGTTTTCTCTTCAATTTTTATATTTGGCCGAAACATACGTGAACCAAGCATACATTTTGATCTTTTGTCATATTCTAGTCATTTTAAACATCGGTTTGAAAAATGTCAAAACACATAATTAAGGGATGGCAAGCATAGTAGTGTAATGGATGGTATCTCCTATCTGGGGATCTTTGCATGAGAACATACTGATTGTCCACATGAAAGGTACAACACAAATCTTGATGTCACACGTTTTTCAAAGTAAATAAGTTTTCACATCTTGTGAATTTGTCATGTTTGAAATGAAAGGGTGATACTGTTGTCATTGCTTAATTTCAAACACTGACAACAATCTGTGGTCAGGGATAACAACATATTGATGCATTATACTTCTATTAAGTCTAAAACCCCAACAACTTATTGTATGTACCCTGAAATGTCTAAAGTTTTAGAACCATACTTCCGATGGTTCTCTCTTCCAAGATGATTCAGTGATCCAGTACTCTCATGCAAAGATGGTTCACTTTATTTCTTTAAACTTTTGATGGTTCACAGTGAAGATAATCTCAAAAATACTGTATGTCACCAGAGGACAGTAGAAACATCAAACTTTGCAACCAAATTTTCACGCAGCGGTTCCTTGATGTAGTGGTTGATGGAGCTTCCTGACACTATTCAATTCATTTATTTCTAGAACATTTATTATGTATATTCAAACGAAATGAAGATGTAATTTGCACTTACATTTCATAAAATTGCAAACATGATTAATACAATTTGAAGCAGTACACAAATCTAGTAAAGCATCATCAACAAGAAAGTAGGTCACTAACAGTTGCTTCCATGACAAAAATGTGAAAATGAACAAGAACATAGAATGACAAGAGGCAAACAAGACCTGTCAGAAAAGCTACTCCAGATCATTTAGATAAGCACAAATTGAAGGAATTAACAACATTAATTGATTGCGTAATCTAGCAAAAGACGAATAATAACAAATTTGGCCAAGCGCGACGCTCCAGTCAATGATGTTTACATCCGATAAGTGCACGTGTTGACACTGAATCTACCTGAACATAAACAAAGGACAACGTGCACCACAGATCGGAAGAAACACATTCTAACGAAGGCGAATGATGACGACCTCTCGAGCCAAACGCTCACTGCAACGCGATCGCCTGAATATTGAATACAGACATTTCGATTAGAAACACGATGGAGAGAAAATAGAAGCAATTGATATACTATTTTAGACCACGGAGGTAAATTCAAACTAAGATTACCTTCTGGAATCCCCCAAGTTCTATCACACGTCGGTACAAGCGATACAGATCAACCTCTCTTCCTCCTATTTGGGGAATGCGATCATACGGTGTTCTGAAACGAGACACGACAACCATATTTTGCAAATTATTGTCCTAAACTGAAGTCAGAATACAATAACGATAACATGAAAACAAAATGAATCAAATACGCACCCTCTGTTTTGGTGAAAACCTTGCAAATCTTGCAAAAAGCTGCGGCGTTCCTCTTCATACGTGAAAGGGTCTTTGTTCAAAAGGTTAGCCATTTTGAAACTGAATAATCCACAATAATATACACTTATTGTTTCCCCAAGCACCTCAAAGAGTACGATCAGCCTGCAACGTGGGCGACATCGATAATATTACACCGAACTGCGGGGTAAATCCTCAATATTTTGGGGATTCCACATATCCTTGCTGGCTGAGGCTGAACTCGCGACTACGCTGACCAGTCCCTGTGCACAAACTCAGTCCAAAATGAGCACAAATCCGGGCGATCTAGGCCTAATTTCAGACCTAGAAGGTTATCCAGATCCTAATATACCTGGATATTAGTTAATTGGTTTAACCTTGAGCCATCATCGTTGTCCATACGCGTCTAAATTCAACAAAAATCCTAACAAAAAACATAATGAACATGCCGAAATGCGATTGTTCACTAGAGGGGTCCCTGCTATTGCTCATTGCCTCGAAGCCGTTAGCCAATATGGCGGAGTCCATGAGGTGCTTCCGCGACAAGCGAGATGCATCACCTTAGACAATTAAAGTTTATAGGAACTACAGTTGCAAAATTGATATATTTTAGTGCATTAAAGACATGTGCTCAATTAGATCTGTGCACGCGATGCTCCACTATGACATCACTTTCTTTGCAAACAAAGGCACCTGCCTTGCTGGCGAAGCGAGTGACCAGAGTGCGCTAAGAACGACAACTCTTGCCAATCAAAACAGCCCCACCCCTTCATAATTACCAGGGGTTACATTAGTTTTGTTTATTGTGGCTTACTGATACGTTTGGTAAACTTTTAATAATTTATTTTACTTTGTTTCATTACTTATTTGTTCACAGATGTTGTGTTTTAATTCCGAGAAATATATGTGAAATGACGCACAAACTGTTCACGAATTGCAAGTTTTATACCCAATGCAGTAGAAACATTGAATACGTCTTCGTTTATTAATACTACATGTAAATGTATTCTTTATACTTCCCACAAGGTTACTCATTCTGTACACACCCTAATCTATTGCTAAAGGAAATGATAAAAATAATACTTCATGGAATATAATAAATTAGATCGACTAGTTTATGGTTTCTTTCGGTAAACAATATTTATTGAAGTTGTAATCATCGTATGACAAGCAATTGTATACGTAAAACGTAAAATTATTTCGATAAGGAGGTATTCAATGAAATAAGAATGGTCCACCATTCCTCGGAGTACGGTTCCGTCTCTGTGTATGAGAGACAGGTAAGAAGTTCAACGAACAGTGTACAACTCGGGGGGCTGTAAACGGCGCAGCTGTAACTTTCTGCTGCAACTCAAAACTTTTTGTGTTTCTATCCCACAGTGTCAACATCTGTTTACACCAACGAATATTAGATAATGCGGTTAAATACTCTATAAATAGCACGAGGATAGCCCCTGTAGAAGAATACAGTGGGCCGGTGCCTCTATAAATAAGCACAGATAAAATCAATGATAGCGAGTAACGTCGTAGTATTGCCGGCAGTACGGTAGTAGAGATCGTAGTTCCTCTCGGCCGCGCACTCACTGAAACGTAATCGATGGCACGTGACCACGTGATGTGTGAATGAGGCCGCCGAAGTTCCTCTCCCACGCTCCCAACATACATACTCCAGCGCTACCAACCACATATAGATAGTTTAGCTGCACTAGGGATAACTGGCTAAGGTGTACACTATTCACAAACTCAGTTCACCGGCAGGCGGGGTTGTACCTGGACGACCGATGTATGTGTATGGGAAGGGGAATCATACAATACACTGGTCATTGACATCAGCAATCGACCGTCAATCATGGCAAGTTGCATCCCAAGGTTGATGAAGATATTCGTAACAGACAGTGAAATGACTTTACTGACATTTACATCATCTCCAGACAATATGAATGTTTCCAGGCTCGTTTCACAATTGCCTTTGTCTTATTTGGCATAGTTTAATTACTAGTGTGACGATCTAGTCTTGTGTGTGCTCTTAAGTCAAAACAACATTGAATCGCTGACACTTTAAACACCATTTCTAAAACAAAAACATCTTATTGTAAACTCCATGCATTTGTTCGTTCCATGGATTTTGCTGCAGTACAAGCTGTTTATTTAGTGGAGTGGTTGTTGTTGATGTTGCTCCTGCTAGTATTTGGATCGGTTGATGTTGTTCGCCAAATAGAGATTCTTCAGGTTTTTCTGCCTGAATACACATATGCCTTTGGTTTGTGAATGTTATTTTGCACCGCAGCCAGTTGTATTCAAGCAGAGTCACATGCATCTGTAAGTATACGAGTCTCCGGGCTAACAAAGGGAGAACAGCACCAGCAACAATATACAGTTGGAGCAGGATGTCTCACCACCCCAGTCTCATCTGTTGGTTATGATGGAATACATGGTTAATACACTGGGATCCTACCCACATAGAAACAATTAACACTCCTAACACTGGTGAAAGTAGACGTGTTACTGGACACTTACGGAAAGGAGGTAGAAGGTGCATTTATTTATTTGACCAAATACCGCCATTTAACAAAAAAACCCCACATAAATAGGCAAGCCTAGCCAATTGTTTTTGAGAGAGAAATGGGTTGTGTTATAAACAAACCATGAACTGTATGTTAAGTCCAAATGCCTGAAGATGTATCCAGAGTAACATTTACCATTTTATCTTGTGCACGGGTGGATGATGTTTTGTGAGTAGGTGATGTTCATGATGATGATGGTGGTGGTGATGATGATGATGATGATGATGTGATGCAGCTGTCGAACCAGATAAACTATTTTGGTTATTTCAAAACAGTAAGTGATGACATATTATTGTCACGATTGTTTCTTATTACTGGCCAACAAGAAGCATTATACGGTGGTACCCATAACACACATTATCTAAGTGGGGCGGTGGGGTAGCATAGTGGTTAAAACGTTGGCTCGCCATGCCGAAGACCCGGGTTCGAATCCCCACATGGGTACAATGTGTGAAGCCCATTTCTGGTGTCCCCAGCCGTGATGTTGCTGGAATATTGCTAAAAGCGGCGTAAAACCAAACTCAGTCAGTCAGTCATTATCTAAGTACCATATTAAATCAAACAAACGAAATGATACAGTTTTCTAATATAGGTTGCATCTGCCTTCTGTTCATTATTTCAGTTTTCATCAGTTGTCCCCTCCTTTCACGTGTTCAGAAGAAACTCACACCTGGCAGGAATCGTGTCATCAGCTAATATGTCGAAACGTAGTTAGCCACGCCCCTTCTTGCATTCCTCATCCAACTGACCAATCAGCTGCGCTCCCGTGTTGGGAACATGCCAGTGACGTCACAGTTGGTGATTCTGCCTGTGTTCATTGACAAACTTGATGCCTGTGACTACCAGCCGAGTCTCCCTCTCTCTCTCACTTACTCCCGCGACTGTATAGTAAGATTGGAGTACGGCTGACCTAGATCGACTGATGCACACACATTCATACAGTGCCGGTAGCCTGGTTTGTAAACACGTGGTGCTGAAAGTGTGCCACGGTGTTTGGGACAGTCGGCAGGCAGGACAGTCGGCTCTTGTTCTCGGTGATGCAGCAGAGCTGCTAGGATTCGCAGCGCTTTTCATATAACTATTTTGACATGTAAGATGTTGCTTAATAATAGTGTATGTAATTTGTTGGACTTAACGGTGTGTTTTAATGACAGTGAATTTACTCTCCTTCTGTATTTGGTATTGTATTTGTAGACGAGGGACTGAACTTAGGGATGGTTCATTCAGACAACGACATCACAACGTTATGCTCGAAGAATCCACCCCTCCGCACATGGCAGCACATGAAATAGTTCATTACAACAATGACGTAGTTTAACATAGACGCATTTGTTTATTTCAGTTTGCAACAATCTCAAAGTAGTGATTATTCAGTGAAAGCTTAACATTAACACCTTACGTACCAGATGTGTGAAGAGACTACACACACGCACACACACGCATGCACGCACGCACACACAATATATTAGACAGTCTGTCACCAGACCAGACGGAGTCGGTGACTTAGCTGTTATCCGTGAAGTTGGGTAGGCGGGTGGGCTGGCTATCAAGATGGACAGTCACTCACAACGAAAACATGCGGTTGTGCCAGATATACGACAAGGCAGATTATAGAACCGGCTTAATTACATTATATCTGTCGAAATTCCGGGATAGACTATATCACATGTATTGCATCAAACATGTCTCCCTGTGGGAATAACTTGACGGGATATATCTCAAGTATCCATGTTTGCCTCCCTGTGGGAATAACTTGACGGGATATATCTCAAGTATCCATGTTTGTCTCCCTGTGGGAATAACTTGACGGGATATATCTCAAGTATCCATGTTTGCCTCCCTGTGGGAATAACTTGACGGGATATATCTCAAGTATCCATGTTTGCCTCCCTGTGGGAATAACTTGACGGGATATATCTCAAGTATCCATGTTTGCCTCCCTGTGGGAATAACTTGACGGGATATATCTCAAGTATCCATGTTTGCCTCCCTGTGGGAATAACTTGACGGGATATATCTCAAGTATCCATGTTTGCCTCCCTGTGGGAATAACTTGACGGGATATATCTCAAGTATCCATGTTTGCCTCCCTGTGGGAATAACTTGACGGGATATATCTCAAGTATCCATGTTTGCCTCCCTGTGGGAATAACTTGACGGGATATATCTCAAGTATCCATGTTTGCCTCCCTGTGGGAATAACTTGACGGGATATATCTCAAGTATCCATGTTTGCCTCCTGTGGGAATAACTTGACGGGATATATCTCAAGTATCCATGTTTGCCTCCCTGTGGGAATAACTTGACGGGATATATCTCAAGTATCCATGTTTGCCTCCCTGTTGGGAATAACTTGACGGGATATATCTCAAGTATCCATGTTTGCCTCCCTGTGGGAATAACTTGACGGGATATATCTCAAGTATCCATGTTTGCCTCCTGTGGGAATAACTTGACGGGATATATCTCAAGTATCCATGTTTGCCTCCCTGTGGGAATAACTTGACGGGATATATCTCAAGTATCCATGTTTGCCTCCCTGTGGGAATAACTTGACGGGATATATCTCATGTATCCATGTTTGCCTCCCTGTGGGAATAACTTGACGGGATATATCTCAAGTATCCATGTTTGCCTCCTGTGGGAATAACTTGACGGGATATATCTCAAGTATCCATGTTTGCCTCCTGTGGGAATAACTTGACGGGATATATCTCAAGTATCCATGTTTGCCTCCCTGTGGGAATAACTTGACGGGATATATCTCAAGTATCCATGTTTGCCTCCCTGTGGGAATAACTTGACGGGATATATCTCAAGTATCCATGTTTGCCTCCCTGTGGGAATAACTTGACGGGATATATCTCAAGTATCCATGTTTGCCTCCCTGTGGGAATAACTTGACGGGGATATATATCTCAAGTATCCATGTTTGCCTCCCTGTGGGAATAACTTGACGGGATATATCTCAAGTATC